CAGCCATGAAGACATCTACGGGACAGTTTTGAGATTTCTTCAAATGCCGTTGCCATGGCAACACAATGCTCGCCTTGAAACACGCGGTTTTCAAAAAACTTCAGTGAAACTACTCCAACAGCCCAAAACTTTACAGGTTGGTAACGATGCAGCCGTCAACGCATCTAAGCGTAGTTATGGGGTGTCGTCAAATGCCGTTGCCATGGCGACAGATCATTCGCCATCAAGTTAGTTCAGAAGTTGGCAGTTCAAATATTCTGCTGCTTTTCCAAGCCTTTTTACTTTCTTTTCTTCTCTCATCACACATTCAAGCCCCCTGTGTTCATGTATAATTTCAATCTAAATTCTTCACTTTCTTCTTACACATTACATTTCAGCATAGCAGTCCAGCGTCAGCTTTTCATCATAAAGCATTCCCACTAGCAATTTCTTCAGGAATTGCATTCTCTAGTTTAGTTTAATGTTTAATTCCTCAGACCCCTCCCCCGCGGGACCGGGGTGGAACGGTTTTCCGACATTTTCACGTTGTAGGGAAAGTGGAGGCGGATGGACACAACTCAACGCCCAAAAAGGCGTAACTGAAAACCTAGTTTTCGTTATTGGACCGAGTTCGTCCCCGCCGTAACCCACCCGTTGACGGTGTGATTTTTTAATCGGAACGGTGGGGTCAACCATCGAAAAAAACTTTATTTTTCAAACACCCGAGTCTAGCTGTAAATATCTCCTTCTTAGGGATTACAGGCTCACGTTCAACATTACGTCGGTGTTTCTGCAACTGGAACATTTGGGGAGGGCCGGGAACCGCGCTCGCACCTTTTTTACAACTAACCGGCCGCTAAAGTAAACTTTTGCCCTGCCAACGTTTTCTTCTCGAAAGCTGGGTTCATCCTGCTTCCCTCTACTCCATAAACGGTGAGCCAGATGTTTACTGTTCTCTTCTCTGGTGTCTCTTCCTGACAGTTCGAAACCGGACGATGAGCTTTAACTTTAGTTTTTGTTGTGATTTCGAAATCTAGAATTATGCAACACTCCGCAAAACGACTTGTTCTACCATTAGCGGTGTAAAGTTCGATATTAATCCGTACGGTTTGACTACGAGACGAGTAGCCTACTGAGCTACTCGTATTTTTGACAATTCTACTAACGTTGAATGCACACAGTTATATATAAAAAGAAACAACCCCAGAAGGGGTTTTTTTGACAAAATTCAGGACTCCTTTCAAGTTTTATTCTGCCACCACATTTGATGTGACCGGGTCCGGTTTTCTTTCATTGGTGAAACTAAAATTGATCCGGTCATTCCCGTAGGTGACCNCTACACCGTAGTTGTATGATATGTCAATAAACCTTAGAAAATATTGAAATTAGTTAATTAAAGACTGTATATAATGGCTATTTTGCACATCCCTTTCAAGATTTCAATATTTTCTAAGGTTTATTGACATATCATACAACTACGGTGTAGTTATGCAATGAATGAAAAACTTGGGTCACAGGTTCCTCAACAGTGCATTACAAGACATCTATCAATATGTGTGTGTACCTCCACCATTAAACTGTCAAATTCTGCACATTTCTTATTCTATCCACATACATAAGAGTATAATTAATTAGTACTTCATGCCCTCAAGAAGCATTTTGTTTAATTATTTTTGCTTAATTATATGTCATTTTTCAAGCTGCGAGATGTTTTCCTACGTTTGTCATGATAAATTATGTCTCAGGAATGTAGGGTTTGGGAATTATGGCAGTTTTAAAAAAATATATGAATGCGAATTTCAAGCCGTCCTCCACTCTAGCTGTGACATCACGCACTCTAGTTCATGTTAAAATGTGAAGAAAACCTTTAAAACAAGGTCTGAACAATGTTTAATATCTCTAAAAGTAAGAATCAGATTTAAAAGTTGTTTTACACGAATAATGTCAGAAAGATGTGTAACATTTGAAAGTTAGAATGAGGTTTCTGAGTGAAAGTATGAATGAACAGTTAGCAGTTGAAGTCGCATGAAGATTTGTTGAAGTTGAAGATTTCCTCCATTGACTTCAATGTTAAAAAGTTGATGTATTATGGGATGTATCTCTGGAATTATGAAAGTTATGAATGAGAAAAGTAATAGCATTCGATTCCCAACCGAGCTGAACGTTTTGATGTTTGAACGGAGTTTCTGCGATGTTCAATGCGGGAGGAGAAGAGGGCCAAAATAACCCGGCGGAATAATAATAAAAATGTTGTCCGTAGAAGAACAGTTAGTTGGAATGCTGTTAACAGCATTCCCACTAAATTATCATCTGCATTTATTATTGAATCAGTTTTCCAAAGAAGAAGAAAAACAAAGAAATGTGTATTATGTATGCTCCGCAAAACGTTTCCCTGATTAGAAATGAATAAGGTGGATCCTTTTCTACTGCATTAACAGCTGTGTTTGATTTGCACAAAGGACCAGGTTATTCATTTGTAATTGAAAGTACTTTTATCATTCCAAAGTTGCCTCTTTTTCCTCTCTTTGCTTAGTCAAACTGTTAATTTGGATGCAATTCAGATTCCTACGTATATATCGCTCAGTCAGTATATTCCTTAATGTATGCGAGAAAATAACCCTCCCCTAAATTTATGTTACCTTTTTATATTTTCCTTGTGATCATAAAGATAACCATTAATACAGATGAGTGAGGGCTGTTGATTAAATATCCTGTTTCAAAGTGCAGACTGTTATGTCAGACAAGCCTTTTCAACTGTTCTCGCACTACTTCTTGTTTATTCTTCCTACCAGATATATAAAACAGTTGAATGTTTGTTGTCCTGCACCGACTTTTTCACCATCGTTCATCAGATGTGTTCATCACATGTGTTCATCACATGAGCAATGTACAATCTAACATCATCTGCATTCAGTTATAAATGACTTCTTTTTCGAGGGTTACAAATCTGAGAAAGTCAATGTCAAACATCCAAGTTTACATTTTGTTGTCAGAAAGATTTCTGGTAAATATAAATACAAAGATGCTACAGTAGTTTTAAAACTGTTTTTTAAAAGGGCCTATATGTTGATAACCACAACAATTCCACAAAATAGTTCCTTTATTTTTTCCATTGTGTGTGCTGTAACCACTTATCTTTGATCCAGGCTATTGCCATGTTAGTGTATATGTGTTAAGTAGGACTTCAAATGTTTTGGCTCTATGAAACCTAATGTACTTATATGATTCTGTTGTCTTCAAGTTTGTATCTTCTTGGTCGAATGCACTTATTGTAAGTTGCTTTAGACGAAAGCGTCAGCTAAATGCAATGTAATGCAATGTAATGTGTGGAAGCTACAGTAAGTTATTAAACAACATTGTGTTATTGTTAATTCAGGGTTTGTGTTCGACCTTGACATATCTTGGAGATTTTACAAGGTCTTTACGAGGTTTTTTTGATTAGTCAATGCATTTCTTTCTGCAGGTATGTCAGAAGAATTCATGACACCCATGTTCAACTTTTACAAAAGCATCGGAGAACTCCACATGACACAGGACGAACAGGCTCTCCTCACCACGATAACCATCCTGACACCAGGTAAGCCAGTATCCACAACTTTGAATTTCATTTCCTACAGTTTGTGATATTCTGAGAGGCTAATCCTCACCCTCTCCAGACCGGCCTTACGTGAAGAGCCATGAGGCGGTGGAGAGACTCCAGGAGACCATGCTGGACGTGCTGAGGAAGCTGTGTGTCCTGCAGCACCCTCAGGAGCCGCAGTACTTTGCCCGCCTGCTGGGCCGCCTGACGGAGCTGAGAACACTACACCACTACCACGTAGAGATGCTCACCTCCTGGAAGACCAACGACCACAAGTTTACGCCGCTGCTCTGTGAGATCTGGGACGTGCAGTGACAAACCAGGAGAGATGGAGAAGCCTGCAGAGGAATGATAACATGAACATTTCAATTTGCAAGACAAATACAGGGTACAAATACAGCGCATATTTATAGCGGATGATATGAGGATTTTGAATTAAATCCCTGCACCACCTGTTGATGGCTTTAGTCATGAATTGGTGAATGGTTTTCTTTATTCTGCTCATGGCCTGAAACATCTTCGTGTATTTTCACTGTGATTCAGCAAACCCTGACTTTTCAGTGCAAAGAGGAACATGTTAAAAGGTTGTGTACAACAAAACATGTTAAATCCGACTAGTACAAACACTGAAACTTATTCAGAGCAACGATGGTGCTCATAAGGAGTGCTAACTTTAGATTATATTAGCTTGTTTTATATTTGTGAAACTCATAGTTCTTGCTAAATCTACTTGCTGTAAATACTACATGCCAAAGTTGTATGTTCTGCCTCAATAAATAACAAGATTAACAGGAAAAAGGTTTACTTTAGAACATTCTTCAGACCTGTTATTTCACTATTAAGGGGTACAGACATAACAGTTGGTACATCTGAACATGTTGTATTCTTGTCCCCCCTTACTCTTAACTTAATCTAATTTAACTGAGCTAAATCATGCTCAAACTCCTCAAATAATATGGGCAGAATGTGACACCATCAATAGCTGACCATAGACCGATGAAGGTCCCATATATTACCTGCAACAGCTAACAATAAATGACTTATTATGCCAACATTTCAGTGCTTTTAAGAGCTGATATTTTATTTCAGTGGGGTATCAGTAATGCACCTCAAATGCAGGAGCATAACTGTGTTTTTGCACAGATAATTCCTTTTTGATAATTAAAAGATATTTACGATTTGCTGCTGACTCTTATCTAACTTCCTTTTTTGTATACTGCTTTTATTTGCTGTTGTCGATATTCATTGTAGTGTTGTACTGATGCAAGGTGCAGCAGCAACACCATAAGGCATGGAGAGCTAACAGTAGAAAGCAGTACTGTGTACATATTAAAGTGATGAATCATTTACCAGTTTATAGTTTTATATTTTAGTGCAGACATTTCAATTAAACAGACCGGTAATTTGAACAATATGTAAGCAATGATGTCATTAGCATAAGAAACAAGACCTTGTGAATTCAGTAAATTGTTTACATTTATTTAGTTTCTTGAAATAAAAACATCACAAGAAATAAAGATATATCTACAATTGAATTTTGCAATACTACGTCGATGACATGACTCAAATGAGCACCACTCACATCTGTATCTATTTTTCACAGTGAGCAGATTTGAATAAACCATACATCATTTACACAATATTTCTCAACAGGCAATACTGTTTTTTCCATTTAAAACCATTAAGTACAATACAAGTAAATACGTCTGTAAACAAAAACCCAACTGTGTTACTTAATGAACGAGTTGTTATTTAAAATATATTTTTCTTATTGTGATGTCTTACAGTTAATTACACTTCAAGGACATAAATAACCCTGTTGCATGCAGGTTAATGTCCTTTATTGTATTACAGCTCCATCTTGTGGCGTAATTTGGCAACAGATATCCTCCTATGAGTTACATTATAGGGTTACAGGAGCAAACAAACAAAGCAGTACCAACGTAGTAACACCATACTGACCACAGAATTCTTCTTATGCTCGATCTACAAAGAAATAATAAACAGATCTTCTACAAAAACATCAGACTCTGTTATGAAGGGTAAAGACATTTAGCGTTGAGTTCTGTCCTGGGTGGTGGGAAGTGGGAGTTTTTCTGCTTGAGGGTAAACCAGGAAGCCAGAAAAGGTGGTGTACCTCCCCTGGTTGCTGTAGACAGCGTAGCGCTCATCCTGCTGACTGTACAGCCACACACTCTCGCCCCGACGGAGAGACAGCAGCAGGCTCTGACTCTGCATCTCCCTTCTCTTCGACGTGTCCTCATCAAACACCATCGCCTGCACCTCGCCCTTCCCGCTCATCAGTTTCACAGAAACCGCCTTACGAGGGTGTTTCCCCACAGTGAAGGCAAAGAAGTATGCGCCTGGGTATTGGCAGGTGAACAGGCCGGAGGTTTTATTGAAATGCCCCCCGATGTTGACGTATTCCACATCAAAGGTCATAGGTGGCTTTTCATGCTGCTTGATACTCTGACCTATGAGTGTGGAGGTCCGTGCCATAGAGAAGGCTGACCTTGGCTGATCTGATGTATGACCTCTGGACAAGGGTTCAGCCTGAGGGGGGCAGTTTGGGTAGGACGGCCCTGATGTGGACAGATGGTTGCTGATGTAGCTTGTTGGGGAGATGTCAGGATAGACAAGGTAACCAGAGAAGGCAATGTAAGGGCCAGCGTTGCTGTACAAAGCATATTGAGGACTCTGCTGCAAAAGCAGCCACACTGTGTCCATTTCCTTTAAACTGATCATAACACTTTGGCTTTGAATTTTCCTTCCTTTCTTGCGGTAGTCGTCATATGCTATGGCCTGCACCTCCTCTCCGTTCTTCGCCAGTATCACAGAAAGCATTTTCTTTGGGAATTTCCCCACAGAGAAGGAGAAGTAGTAAGCCCCGGGGACACGACAGCGGAATTGCCCAGTGTCTGGGTTAAAATCCCCTCCAATGTTGACCATGAGCCTGTTGAAGGTCACCGCCTTCTGCTTGCCTCCCTCCATGCTGCTGGTTCGTGTGGCAGAGAAAGCAGAACTCTGACTTGAAGTCGCCGGAGGGACGTGAAGAGAGGAAGCTGGTCCAGAGCAGGAGATCATGATCAGTATACATGCCAGGTAGCAGTGTGTGCTCCTCTGAGCTAAAAAAGGAAAGGAAAAACATATATATACATTTACAAGTGGTAAACATACATTTCTGAAACTATGGGCAAGTTAGATATTTGAGATGTCTTTGCTTCACAAATTAAAAGTCCAGTCTTGTAGCTTGAGATCTGTTGGTCAGGGACCCTCAGGGCTTACAAAATACATCTGAGGAGGTTCACCAGATAATAAAAGGTGTATTTCAAAATGTTTCGATAAATGTTCCTTCGCTTTCTTGCAGAGATTAAGAAGACTATCATGTTTGTCCATTCAATACAAAAATACAGGCAGAAGACATTATATTGTTTAGCTTAGCACAACAACTGGAAACAGGGGGAAATAGCTAGCTTGGCTCTGTCCAATGTAAGGCAAAATATGATATATTCAGATAGAGAAGGAAAAAAACGGGTTAGTTACTGCTCATAGCTAATATCCTGTGAAGTGTTGTTTCAATGTAAAAAAACACCTCTTTTGAGTCTTCAAACCAAGCTTAGCAATAATGCCTCTATATGAAATACTCCAGATTGATAAGGAAGTCTGGTTACGCCCTGTCGAGATTGATTTTGTGACTCAAATCAGGCGCTCTGTGGGAGCAGCAGCCCCTGTAATGTGGCTGATATTGTCTGTTCTCTCTGTGCACTGAGAGAAGGGACTAGATTAGGTGCTGGTTCATCTGTTCCTGTGTCTGTTGAACAATGGAAAAATTTGGAGGGCTGGTGAGATGGGGCAGGGCAGGATGCTAAAAGATACCACTTAGATAAGTTGCAGATATTCTGTTATTATAAATGAAAAACTTGTGATTATTTTTTAGGGACTTGTTTACACTCCTGAAATGCTGCCTTTTTAACCATTACATACATTGGATAGCATTACGTATTCAGGTTCCAATAGAAAATGATTGTCTCTATTTAAAAAATGACTATTATTAATATGTAATTTATAATTCCTGCATACACGTAATGAAATAGAAGAATTTGAAATCACACTACACTACCATAGATTGATCTGACAAGCTTCTATGATCACACTCACACTGACCACCTCACCTGCAAGGCAACAAACATACGTTTAAGTAGTAATGATTTGATCTGCACATTTTACAAAACACTAATGATATTTAGCTCTAAATTGTGGTGGAAAATCAAAATCACATTTACAAAATAAGTGAGCTTGCAAAATATTAGCCTTATACTGTAGTAGTCAACAACCTTCATCTTTTGTCCTCAACTTTTCAAAATAAAGATTTAACATTTGAGAATAATCTGCAGTGTAACATAATGCTTTCTTATTACATAGAAGGCAAATTAGTCGGTATAGCAATGATGTCAAACAAAGCGTGGACACAATGAACAGAAAATGACCTATAGTTATGACCAAAAGTGTGAGGAGACAATTGTAATTTACTATACTTCTACCCAGATAAATAAAAACCATACATACAATTCTTAGCCCACTTACGTGTGTACACATAGACTCCATGCTCTAAAGACGAACTGAAACAAATGTCAAACTCACCTGTTAGGATTTGTTGAGAAAGAAAATGCATGCTGGACTTCGTTTTCTTAGACAGACTTTTAAATAAAGTTCCTCTTAGTTTGCTGCACTCCTAATGACCATATAACAGGCCTAACACCCAGAGGAACAAAGCTTCTGTCCAAACGTCCAAACAGACATGTCAGGAGGAGGAGCTCCAGGTCCCCTCCAATCTATAGCCCCCATTCAGCCTGCAGTGCAAAAAAATGAAAATGCAGCTGTATCTTCAGTCTTATTGGCCACCTGTGTAAATATTAGGTCTAATTTATACTTGTTTTGTCTAAGAAAGATTGAGGAGCTGTGGGACACAACGTTTGGATTTTCAACACAAGACAACAGTCCATTATCTAGACAATTTAAATCAAAATAGGTCTTTGAAAAGTGATTGTTGAAAAAGAATAACATTGAAAAACAATGTCTGTATAATAATGTTTATGCCAAGGTAATTTCAGAAAAAGAAAGTGTTATAGAATTTTAGAACGTAAATTCTGCAACTTTAGGAAAATCATTACCTGTGAAAAAAATTAATCCTTGTTGGAAAATATTTGTAAAAATGGTTGCAACACTACTTTAATGTTGGAAAATTGATTATATGATATTACGGTATTTGCTGAGAGGTTATATATGTTATGGTGTGCTCTCACGTTAAACTTGTTGTGTTGTAGTGTAGTTCAGTAGTGTGAAGTACCTGGGTCCATTTACTCAAGTACTGCCCAGGTAAAAAAATATTATGCTTAAATTATACTTTTTAAAGAATGTACTAAGTACACTTTTAGGATAAATGTGCTTTTTTGTCGCAATCAAGTATACTAAAGTGTACTCAAGTAGTACTTGTACTACTTCATCATTAGTTGAGTATACTTGAAGTATAAATAGTGTGCTAAATTGACACAACTTTTTGTAAACTTTAAGTGTACTGAAGTACACCAGTTAAAATTATGATTCGTGTGCATTCGAAACACACATCAAGAACAATTGTATTATATTACCAGTGTGTTGGAAATATCACACTTATTCAAGCATATCCGTTATATTTCAACTGAACTTCAAATGCACTTTCTGACTGTATTTAATACTTTTAAATTGTGCTATTATGTTAATAAAAATGTATTCATAGTAAGGTTCGATCACAATTTAAGCACCATAAATCCATGTATTTTAAGTATAATGTTATTATACTAGAAAGTAGGGTAGAAGTGTATTCTATCACTGCTTATACTACAGAATAGAAGTGTATTTTAAGTACAATAATGTTACCACTGCAAGTACTGGATTATGTGTTACAGAAGCATACTTACAATACATCACTATTATACTTCATACACTTTAAGATACTTCCGGGTACCACTTAAGTACACACTAAGTGTGCTATTCTGTTTCATGACAAATTGCACTTCAATTATGAGAAAAACATAATTTTAATGACGTTAAAACATTTACAATTTTACTCCTTAGAGCTTTGTAAACAAACCAAAAAACGTCTTTATACTTCAATAAATTGAACTATAGTTAAAACAACAAAACATGATGGTTAAACTCACATCATTTATTGACTTGCAAAGTCTAAATAAAATAGAAATAAATTAGAGGATGGCGGCCATCACTGAGGAGGAACGTTGTTCTTGTAGCCCTCATTATTGCATTTCCTCCGCAGCAGCAGGGCCCGGATCGCACTGACCTCGGTACCCGGAAATCTTTCTCTCACCATGTCTTTCAAAACAGGAAGGAAGCATGGGATTTACTTGATAATATAGACAATATATTAGATTGAATTCCATTCATAATGATAAAATGAATACAGAATATCTGTACCTATAATTGCATTCACTTTCTCCGGGTCAAGTTGGTTCTTGACCTCCGCTGTTTTCCCCTTCCCAGTGAGGGTAGACTTGGCCAGTGTGTTTTACATTTCTGAAAGAGGCGGATTAAAACTCACATCCACACACCAATGCGCAGCACTGGGAGCAATTTGGGGTTGGGGCCCAAATTACTCACATATCATTGAGTATTTTCTCAATGATATGTATTTTCATCTGCAAGATGGAAGAAGAATAGCTGGGTGCTGCCTGGAGAGACTGATGAGGAGTCACCGGCTGGCTGCAGCAGCTCTCCACACAAAGCCATCACATCTTCTCTTCCATAGGTGCTCTGTCAAAAGAGTGAACATCACAGCTGTCATGTTAACCCTATGTTACACAACATACAACCAACATGCGTCAAAAGTGACCCGAATTAGTTTTAAAATTGTAAATATCTTTGCAATAAATTACTTTAATCATTCAGGATTTCAGGTATTCCTCAATTAACCTGTTTTTGATCAACATCAATTATAATTTGTATTTCTTACTTTTTGAAAAAAATCATGTTTGTATCACTACACTTCTAAGGCACAACATGGGTCCAAAGTTACCCGTATTCTTTTCCTATGTTATTTCATGCATGGCTGCTGAGTGTTTCTTTACTATACATTTTCAAATCTATGTCTTTAGTCATTAAAGGTGGGGTAGGTAAGTTTGAGAAACCGGCTTGAGATACACTTTTTGTTATATTCCATGGAATGCTCTTAACATCCCGATAGCAATGAATATCTTAAGTGTTTTTGACAAAAAATCCATACAAAAAGTTCATCTGTGGAAGCCGTAGTACTGTAAAAAAGCATGACCAATCATTTTAGCGGCCCGGCTAAAATAACTGGATGGCCTACCTGCCTGTCAGCCTTCCATCTGTGCACAAACTTATCTCGTGCCCTCATTGGTCATGTGTGTGTTCGTGTGTGTTGGAGGAGGGGCTCTGTAAGGAAGTGGCAGATTTTTTCCAGCTGTGTATTTTCAAATTGTAGCACACTCGAGCTGGTTTTCTCCAAAATGACCTACCCCACCTACCCCACCTTTAATAATAAGTATTANAACGTTAAGGTTTTAACTGTACTACTACTTATATCAATACTGCTTATCGATCCGGTCCTTTTAACGATAGTATTAACGGTTCTTTTGACAAGAAATAAGGTAAACTAAATAAACAAATTGTGAACAAAACTAACATTGCTTTTTATTTTAATTAAATGCATAATATTTCACATCAAAAGAAACAACAGTGTTTTAACAAATCGTATTAAATAATGTGATGACAGAACTGTAAACAGAATAGCTGAAACTTTAACAAAATAAATAACTCAGTTACCTCTAATCATTAACCCATGTTTGTATAATGTAGTTAACTCTGTGTGTTGCTGCTAGCATACACACCTGACGTGGAAATGTTACTCGTGGATGGGGCTACAGAGCTACTAGAAAGACAGTCGAACCCGGTGCATTCCTCCGTCTGAATGTGGTGCACTTTTGCTAAATGTTTAGACAAATTGCTCGTGTTACCGCCCTTACATGCTAAACTCTTATTGCACTTTTTGCAACGAGCATTGTCCACATCGAGACGGGTAAAGTTTAACCACACCTCTGAGCACGTTTTCTCCACCATCTCTACAGTGTGTTGCTGCATGTAGCAGCTGCGTGTGTGTAAACTGCCCCGCCCCCTCGCACAGACGGGGGAGAGAGATCTCGTCTGGACGCATTTGTTTGTCTTTTTGCATATTAGAAACGAGTTGGCGACACTAAGACTGCGATATAATGTTTTTGTAGCAATAACACATGACATACTGTATATGTTTTTAAATGTCTCCAGTACCGATAAAAAGACCAATAACATTGGAGCTTAACTGCGCGTAAAACACATGTGATGACATCACCAACGAATCGACGACTGAATTAGTTGGCAACTAATTTGGTAATCGATTTTAATCGATTAAGTCGATTAGTTGTTGCACCCCTAGACTGTTGGTGGTTCAAAACAACTAACCCGAGTACATGACCTTGGGAAGTGGGAAACTATAACAGGCATATCATCGAATCTTTGAATGAATGCATTGATACAGCAGACACAGCATTACCATCACCTTTAACAGAATGTGTGATCCAGTCTGGGGTGACAATCTTGATGCCCGGGTGTTTCAGGGCACACTCAAACTTGGCCTGAAAGATGAGAAATATACAACCACTGAGTGCCTACAACATGACCAAAAAAACTGTATTTCTATGACAGACATTCTTAGCAATAACATGCATGGTGGATATGGCAAAATGTTAGAGTACACAGAGCTGGACCTTACCCCCTTCGGCTCCTTCACTACTAAGTGGGTGACCTTCTTGTTGAGGTTAAGTTGACATGCTCCCCCATAAAAGGTTATGTAAGCCCAGAACGCATTGAGATCATCTGGAAGCTACACACACACACACACACACACACACACACACACACACACACACACACACACACACACACACACACACACACACACACACACACACACACACACAGAAGTCTTTCAAAAGTAACTCCTGTCAGGTCAGCAAAAGGCCACAGTTACCAAATATAAGTTTAGCTTTTTCAAAATAATGTTGAAGAATAGACAACATTTATCAACCTTTGTGAAATCCATGTCTTAACTAGAATAATTCAAGTGTCTCACACACACAACTCACACTCTTACACACACTTACCCTAGGAAGACAAGCCGTCACACCAAAGAATATCTGTCCTGATTCTGGGGAGAACCCTGTAACACTGGTGCTCATAGTTAGGGAGAAAAAAAGAAAATTTCTTTGGGCGAATAAACCCTATTTTTTTATTATCTGGAATCCTAAACATTATTTTTCTCTAGTCATCGCCACTGTTATTTTACATTTTTAAATGACACCACTTGGAGGTATTTTGGACTTGATGGTGGAAGGATACGGTAACAGGTCTCCACATCTGACCGAGAGGATCACCCAGGATGGCTGGAAAACATAGATTAAAGCAAGTTGATATTAACTGCTTTCTCTTTGTTACACTATTTTAAAGTCGACCAACGTTTGTTTAAAGATGTTTTTAGTTAGAGGTCTGAAATAAGGTCTGTGGTTAACACTAGATTCAAAGATTTGAAGGTTTTGTTCTACAACATAAAATCTGTCAGTCACTGCTGAATGCCCTAAGATTCTAAGTGTTATAAAAATGGCGGGTGCAGACAAGTGTCTAAATGAGACAAAAAAACATAATGCCGAACATAAGCCACCTTCAGCTTAGAATCAGAATCGGTTTTATTACAAAGTAGGCTTACACATACGAGGAATTGGCTTTGGTATATGTACGTAAGTATGTATGTATATTATAGACCCTCCAGAAAAACGCGGGCAAAAANGGGAGACCGCACACCTGTTAGCTAGGCTTTAGGTAACAACTAATTCTCTGTGTATAACCTCACGCAAAGTGACAACATGACGAGAAACCGGAACTTCTTGCATGCAATGTGCTGGTTCAGGTATTATAGACCCTCCAGAAAAACGCGGGCAAAAATCCTTGATTAGGCGGGCTAAAATCCTTGATTATGCGATTAAACATGCAGGGTTTTTATGTGATTTTATGCGGTGAAATTGCGGGAAGTTGCGAAATATAAGGAAAGTTGCGAAAAATAATAGATTTTTTTTTAAATATTGGGCTGTCTTATTTATTCTCTCTCACACACACCCTGCCACTAACGTTAAACCCCTTTCCTATTCAATTAAACACATTCAATGTTTATTTATTGTAAAAGCAATGGGGCTATTTGAATCACACTCTCTCTCTCTCTCACACACACACACACACTTTTCCGCCTCATTCTGTTTTCATTTACTCGTTCGTTATCTGACCAGCTTCAATCTACTCACTTCGTTTCTTGTAGCCCTCGAAAGGGTTTTGGAGTTTGATGCCTCGGTGAACGTGAGTTGTTTGGCTTTCTTGTCC